GAATGCAGCAAATCATCAAAATCTTATACATTATGACCAAGTAGGATTCATCTTTGGGATGCAGGGATGGTTTGACATATACAAATCAATAAATGTAATGCACTACATCAACAGAACCAAATACAAAAACCACAGGAGCATCTCAATAGGTCCAGAAAAAGCATTTGACAAAGACCAACATAAATTCATAATTAAAAATCTACAGAATATTGGAATAGATTATCTTCATCTCAATCTGATAAAGCCATCTATGAGAAATCAACTGCCAACATTATATTAAATGGTCAAAAACTGAAAGTTTTCACTCTAAAATCAAGAACAAGACAAGGATGCCCACTATCACCACTCCTGTTCAATATCATTCTAAAAATATTACCCAGAGCAATTAGACATGAAAAAGAAATAAAATGAATATGGATAGTAAACAAGTGAAATTATAATTATTTTGATGAGATGATACTGTACATAAAAGACCACAAAAGCTCCACCAAAAGACTTCTAGAATTAATAACCAAATTCAATAGTATAGCAGGATACAAAGTCATCACCCACAAATTAATAGCATTAATGTACACAAATAACAAACTCACTGAGAGAGAAATTATGGAAACCACACCTTTTACAATAGCATCAAGAAATATGAAATACCTAGGGATAAATTTAACAAAGTGAAAGACCTGTACACTGAAAACTGCAGTATTCTTTAAAAGGAGATCAAAGAGGATATCAGAAAATGGAAAAATATCTCCTCTTCTTGATAGGCAGAACAAATATAGTGAAAATGGCCATACTCGCAAAACTAATATACAGATTTAATGGAATCTAAATAAAAGCACCAACAGCATACCTCACAGAATTAGAGAAAACAATCCTAAAATTCATATGGAACAGGTGGAGACCTAGAATAGCAAAAGGAATTCTGAGCAAAAAAAGCAAGGAAAGGGGCAGCATCACAATCCCTGATTGAAGTCATATTACAAAGCTACTGTGATTTAAAAAAAAAAAATCAAGTGTTCCACCCCACAAAATCAGAATACACCTGCTTTTCAGCTGCACATGGGTCATTCTCCAAATAGACCACATACTCACTCATAGAACATGTCTAAGTAAATGTAAAAGAATTGAAGTTATCCCCTGTATATTATCAGACCATAGTGCAATAAAATTGGAG